CTCAGCCTATGTACTGAGGCCACTGTTAACTCTACGAGTCATGTACTGAGGGTTTGTTAACTCTTCGGGTACTCCGTACCCATGTGTGGAACACACCAGGTGTAAACCCGTGTAACCCCGTTACAGCTGGAAAACACAACTTTGATTTGAAGAATCGACAAGAGCTGGTGCAGGGGCTTACCTGGCGTCGCCCGTGGCTGTAAACACAGCCGTCTAACGCATAGACAAACCCTATTCAAAGTAGTCGAGACACTGGACCCAAAGGATTCAGTCGATCTGGATGAGCCCACCAACAAGCCCACCGCAGCACTTCTAGGTGTTCCAACGGCTGCGCTGGTGGACGTAGTGGTGGTGGCTCCAGTATTTGCGGCGGCAGTGCCGCTGTTGGTGGAAGCGGCGTCGTTCACCTCGACGACGCAGAGCTGGCTGGGTCGACGATCGTCCGGCCTCCGCGTTGACGTTGTGAAGACTTAAAGTTAACTGAATCTGCACATGACTATTGGAGAGGGGTTAGCGATCGGTATACTTCACCTTCCTTCAATAGCCGCTGTACACTACTAGTAAGTGAGAAGAAAATTAACTTGATTGATTTTATCTTTATAGAACTCGTATTGAAGGCGCGTACATCAAGCACTCCTAGCACAAATATCTGGAGATACATCACTCCATGGTGCATCTGGGTACGAATCGTACATCACGTGATCTTCCCCATTGTGGTTTGTGTAGACGAAGACAAGCTTCTCTACGCGTGATGCTGTCAAGCGGTTTCTTCTTTTTGAGTGAATGAACCCGTGAATGGACCACGATCGTTCACTGGCTGCTGATGATGTAGGAATACAAAATAATTGCATCGCTAATGGACGCATGAGCTGGTATTTGGTTTGTCTCGTTGACCACCAGTTCAGAGGCGTGTACGACTGGTATCTATTCTTTTTCTCCACACTCCACCCCAGTTTGTCAGCCACATATTGAGTGATTTCAGCAGAAACCTTTTGTTTTTCATCAGGGTCTACTGTAATCATAGTGGCAGCGTCTGAAATGGCATCATCAAGCTCGTCATCTGTAAAACCACTTGTGCCCAGGCGTTGATCGAACAGATACCCAACTTTCATGGAAGGCGTTCTAGTTTTTCGCGAGTTTTTTTTCTGCTTGTAGATAGTGTCCAGTGTAGTATCTTCTAGAACCGCTTGAATGACGTGTTTGTTCCGCTAAACACTCTTCATGCAAGCTTCAGACGTGTACCAACGGGTAGGCACCGGCAGGCACAACCTGCGGCGAGATTCAAAGCTCAAGCCTTTCTGGATTTTCTCGAAATGATCCAGTAAAATGTACCGATTCAAGATATACTTAGATAACCAGATCGCACTATTGAGAACATTTTTCACAGGCTCCAACGCTAGTACATCCTTCATGATTAAGTTCATCATATAAGCTCCACATCCATTGCAGGTCAGACTGGGTCGCTTTTCCTTCAAGATACTCCATGCTCTCTTCATATTTTTTGCATTGTCCGTCACCACCCCACAGACGGCTCCAGCCCTCATGATCCCCTCAATCTCGACGATAACCTCCTCAACTCGATCAGCAATGTATTCGCCCGTGTGTTGATTGTCACCTGTAGCGACAGGGGACCAAAACACCGGGTTCATACGCGGTGAAGTGATAACAAAATTGACAATGCTCTGCTTGTTTGGGTTTGCCCAACCATCAGAAACAACAGTCACGTACGGCTCATTCTTGATAGCTTCAACCACTTTTTTCATTTCGAGTCCGTAGGTCGTGTCAAGTAATGGCCCAGCTAACTTGTAGCGAGAAGGAAGTTGAAGTCGGGCCGAAGGTGTTGGAACAGTTGCTTCATTTTGGGGTCCTCCAGTACACGAAATGAGATCCCCGTGGCGTAAAACGCCATCGCCAAGTCGAGCTCTAGCTCAGCTTGACTATACTCGTACAGCCGCTGTTGTTTGGGGGGAGTCTTGCGGGCCGTAGACGGCGAGCGTGGCGTTCCTATCGATCGACGCTTCTTCGTTCTTTTGGGCGTTCGCGCGATGAAGAAGCGTAGCGCTGCTTCACATCCGCGGGGAAGGAGCATTTGCGAACATGTCCTTTTAAATGTTTTCCAATTTGAGCACTTCGAAATAGCCTGTTGCAGTGCGGGCAGGAGACGTCGGGATGCTTCTTTCCTCCGCCCTTTGGTATCACGACCTTGAAAAGGTCTCAGATAGGAGATGTTGGCTTTCCTTTTGGCGGCATTTTGAAGAGGTTTGAGGCCGTGCAGTGCTAGAAGTGGTTTCTCGAATGAGTGCAAACTCCCAACGAGGTAATGATCAGCGAGGATACGGATTCCTGCAGCAAATCCTACTTATTGGACCTCTCCCTAAGTAGGCCTAATTAGGCCTACTTTGTGACTACTATTTAGTCAAAGTAGTCATTTACAATCCTAAGTACTACCGACAGGGCAAGAACTGACTGCTAGAGCAGTTTCCACTGCATCGACCAGTGACGGAGAAGAATCTGCTCAAGAAGGGGCAAGTCTTGGAGCGATATTGCATGAAGCGCGAGACCGATACTTTTGTCAACAAGGCACCCGCATGCACGAAAGAAGCACTGAAGAAAATGACGACGTATCTCTATTCAACTGCTGCTACGGCTTCAGACTATCAAGATGCAGCAAGCCTGTGTCTGCTGTGGTTTCTTTTCGGACGAGCGTCTGACCTCACGTTACTGCGCAAGGAGAATCTATCGATCGGCTCGGGGAATATCTTCTTCGTCCGCTTCATTCGAGTGAAGACATCCGAAGAGCAGGGTCTTTCTCTTTTCCCGGACGAGGACTTTACCACTTGCCCGCTGTTGGCCATTGCGCTATCCTTGGCGATGCAATCGGCGCCCACCGCTTTTCTCCTGAGCCAACTTCCCGAACAGCATACTGTGTCCCGTGCAGCCTTGACCCCAACAGCCCCTCTCATCGACTTAATGGATCATCCGGGCGTCGTCACACCGCTACAACCTTCGCCGGAGAAGGCGAAGTCAACAGAAGACGCACCAGGTATCCACAGCTACGTCAACCGTGTCTTGGGGAAAGTTTCAGCAAAGGCTGGTGTGACAGAGCATTTGACATCTCATTCATTTCGTCGGGGTGGGGCCCAACATGCCAACGGCGCTGGGATGTGTGTTAAGTGGATTTTCGACCGTGGTGCTTGGAACATGACGTCGGCGATCAAGGCCTTCGCGTACTTCTTCAATACTCCTGCAGAAGATTATAAAGTTGCTCGTGTTCTCAGCAATCGGGACCCTGAAGATTCCACATGAAGGTTAAGCTTAGTGTTCAATACGGTCCTTCCAATTCATACGATAACTACGGTTGATTAACTTGTAATACACGCTGTATTAACCCTTTTAGCCATGCCTATCCCTATGCTTCAGTCTCATTGAGCGTGTTGCCTTCCACAGCTTCGTCTTCGAAGATCTTCTTGCGCACAAGAAGACGGCGCTCCTTTTCGAAGGCAGCAACAACAGAGGCATGGAGGTGATGACGCGGCTCCCACGTTGGCTCCCAGTTGATGAGGTAGAACGTCTCTCGGTTCTGGCGCTTCCAATTTAGCAGCTTGCGGACGTAGTGCTTCTGCTCGCCTTCTGTAGCTGCGTCTCCGGGCTCAGCAGGAGGTGGCTCGACCAGCCACTCCCGTACGTCCTCCAGGCTCGCGCGGCTTGTCTTCCTCTCGGACAGTGAATCGCAAATGACGTTGATGGCTTCAGGCAGCAGGGCGGCGGAGGCTACAGTCGTGTTCATGGTAGGTCGCAGGTGGCGGATTGCCTCATCGCTAATTCGAAGCTTGAATGTTTTTGATGTAGCAATGCAGCACGACTTGAACTCCTTGTAAAAGCTGACGGCGTTCTTGGTGGGCTTGATCGATGGCATGAAGACGGAGTTCTGTGTGCTTGGGTGCAGATTTCAAACTGAGCGGCAGCACACGTGGGGCGCTCGATTGCAGAAGCATTGACTGAACCACATGAATAGGTAACATTGTATGTATTTACTTGCCGGAAACTAACTCAAAACGTTTGTTGTATGTGAAGGGGCTGGATCAAGAATGTGACCTGAACCTTGGAGTTGCTGATAGCGGAGAATGTGCTGGTTTAGACTGTCATCTTTGTGAAGTTTGCGCATGGACTTCAGGACATTCTGCGGGCCACGGGCTGTGATGTTGTGCTGCTTCAGGAACGTCAACAGCGCGGTTTCGGCACTCTCACCAAGCGTCAGGACATCGTCACGATATTGCGGGGAACTCTCAACAAGTTTGAAACCCCTTTCTAGAAACAGCTTGAGGAAAGCGACTACCTGTTTCGCTGTCGATCGCGCATGCTTAGTCTCTGGGTCAGTTGAACTCCACATCCGCGGTTCTTGAGTGTACCAAGTGTACCAAGCGTCTTTCAAACTTGAAGCCGGAGAGGTACGTCGTCGCTTGTGTGGTTGTTCACTGTTTGTACACTCACTTGGCTGCTGCGGTGCTGGTGTTCATGGATGTTTGTTACAGATCTTGGCTTCCATCACAGACAGCCGGGCATCTAGAGTCTTGTTCACCTGGATTATCTGTTCAATCATGGCTGTTTGATGACGAAACACGGGGTGCTTTGTGACGTCGGCTGTTGTGTCTTGTGCGACCGAGGTGTCAGGTTTGCTGGAGGAAACAGAGGCAAGGTATGACGACCAAGCGAGATCATTAACGGAGAACCCTCTCTCAACGGCACACGCCTCCAGACGTTGATTTGCAGGACTATCAGCTGCAAGCGCCTTCAGCGCGGGGTAGTGGTGGATCAGGTAGGTCATGAGGGTGTCCAGTACGCGCGCATTGACATTGTACTGTTCTAAGGCGAGTCCTGACGAAGCAGTGAACAGCGCTGAAGCAACAGATCGAATGTTGACTTTCGTGGTAGAATCAAAGGAATCGAGGTCTAACAGTTTGACGGTACAGCAAAGTTAACCTCATTACAGAGCACACTAAATGCACTTTAAGTACGGTGTCGAACACTCAGCTTAACCTCCTTGCGGAACAGCAATGTTAACCTCAACGCAAGCAAACACACCACGCATGACAAGCAGAGGAGGCCGCACATCGTACAAACACGTAAAAATGCAAAAATACATAATACCGTGGTAGCGGTCATATTGGACCAAGCAGTAGAGAGGGTGTATCTTGTGCCTTGCGAAAAAAAATCAAGAATGACACTGAGTTTGACTTGGCGGCACTCATACAAGCCAGTCGTTATAAAAAACCTTGTTTTAAAGGTTTTACCTACATTTCTAATGTGGACCACAGAGCCCATTTCGTAATTACGCGTAAGAAGTATGTAAATAGGGAGCGAGTGCTCCTATTACTGGACCCCGATTTCAGGGACGGCGTCTCATATGTCAATTTACTATGGAGCGTGAACAGCTCTCTTGGCTCTTTGGAGCCAAAACAATGCATTTTTAGTTTTTTTTTGCACTTTTCTCAGCCCACAGGCCGTTTCAGGGCCTGAGAATCCGGCTATAAAATTGGTAGAAAACGGTATTTGGCATGACGGCTGGCATCTCACATCCCAAAAGTAGATCCCCTAATCACTTACATAATTTCAACATTAATTATGTTCTAAACACTAAAGTAACTTTCTATGTGCTTGGTCGGAGCTGTCGGAGGTCGGAGTTTTTATGGTATGGACCATAAAGATTGGGCAGAAAAAAACAAATAAATTTATCTACCCCCCCCCCCCCCCCTCCCCCCACACCAGTATTAGTACTGTGGACGGTGGGTGGGGGGAGGGGCAGATTGATAAAATATACTTGACGTACTAAGGACCACTCCATTGGCTCCTCCGCAGTACTTCGAAATCGGATACAGCCGGCTTTCCGGACTTGCGCTCTGTTGGCCACTGCGTTTCGAAACTTCTCACATGAAATACCTTCACAGACATCGGTGTCGGATGGTTTTCTGACTTACCAGCAGCTTTCAGACTCCTTGCGAAACCTAAGTTCGGACGGCCCCACACCAGACGAGTCTACACCCGGCTTTCTACCCTACGCCCAGCTCTATGCTGCTTTGAGATACACGGTCATTCAAGAAGATGCATCTGACGGTTGCCTTACGTACATCCACCTAGCCCGAGCGATGCGCGATTTATCGCCATCGAGCTCGGGTGGTAGAGCTTGGACTGCCTTCGTTGAGCGCTGGAACACGGATACCTACGGTAGGTTCATTCAAATACTGGAAAGACTGGAAGCGACACACGGACTCTAATCACTTAGTGCACTGGCATGGCGTGCCTGCGAGTTGTCTTTGGGAGCAGACCGGCTGTGCTGTTTTTACGGCTGAGTTGAATCCAGTAGTTTTGAGTGAGCTGCAGGTAGTATTAAACGGTATTAACCCGCTTGTGGAGAGGTGTTGCAGTGGCGGGCTTTCGCGGACCCGAGCCAAAAACTGTGTTTCTTCGACCATCCAAATACAAATCCAAGGCGCTTTAATCGTCCTACAGCTGACGAGGTGGCTGCGATCATGGTCAACGGTAACTCCACTATTTCCTGGAACTTTTGTACGGTTGAGCCATTATGCTCACCTCCAAGTATTTTTCCCACCGGTGCGAGCAAAATAAATGACCGTGCGATGTGCCTTGATTGGTCAAAAATATGCGGACGTAAAAAGTGATTGATTTACTGTACAACCATGCGTGTGCATATGAGGCAGAGGACTATAAGGGACGACAGTTTGCGTACAACAAGGGAAGACGGGTACCCGAGATCCTCCTTTAAAAGAAAGAGACCTTCATTTCATCTTTTGCTGCTATGACCAACACGTGGCGAAGGCGCTAATGGACCTGCCGACCACAAGCCGACTCTACCAAGCTGCTATCGCTGCAGCCCGGTTTGCGGATCAAAGACTCGAGAGCCGGACACGTAGCGACTACAGCAGCATTCTTCGGCGGTTTTCAGCGTTCTGCAAAAAGCGAAGGCTACCCAGACTGTAACAGGGCGGTGCTCACCCTTGGGGTAGATGTAACGCTGGCTGTATTAGATGAGCGGCGTCCACGAGGACGCCGCTGAACCAACAAAAATGAAACCCTATCCTATTGGTCGCCGTGGTGCACGGCGACCGCGTGACGGATTCCCGTCACACAGACCCACTGAAGGAACGGTTTGTGGAGCTGCCCGGTGTGGTTGCAGCGTACATCAACTTACTCGCCACCTCCAACTCAAGTCAATGGCCCGCTGAAAAGCTTCGCGCTGCGCTTAGCTGGCACTACACGAAACCTGAGACGCTAGCGGGTGGCCACCCACACGATCGTTGAGTTGTTGAGACTTCTCCGGACGGCACCCCAGTACTTCGAGGAAACCCTGCACGCTCAGTAGCCATCACGCAGATTCTTGCCGGTCTCAGCAAGTCCAAGAAACGCGAGCGAACTCCAAAGCGTGCGTCCCCAATGTCCTTATTGATGCTGACAAAGATCATCACATTCTTGGAGTCGAATTCGATGTTCAACGATACCATGCGGCTGTGGTTTTCTGCGGTTTGTTCTCTCAGCTTCTATAGTATGTGCCGTATAAACGAAGTCTTGCTCATGAAGACGGGCGACATTCAGCTAGGCCTCAAACGAAAATCGCGCGTAGATGACAGTAACATCGAGTTTGGCTGTTTCACTATTCGTGATCGGAAGACAGATCATGATCCCCTCGCAAGTCGAACCTACTCACTCCATCACTCACGAAAGAAGAACGGGCAGCTGAAGCATTGACTTTCTTGGATAGATGGTTTACGTACGCGCGGAAGAAGCTTCACCACATCTGGCGTGGCAGCGACTATGCGTTTCCATCATTGACGAAGGTAATGTTGCTATCTGACATTGGCGAACCATTGAACATTATCGCTGAGGCCGCTGGAATCAGCCGAAACCTGCTTGGTGACGAGATTTGGTTTACATCCCACTGTTTCCGTCGAGGTGGTGCACAGTATCAGTTCATGTTTGCCCCTGAAGATCGACGGTGGTCACTGAAGCTCGCGAAGTGGTGGGCAGGGTAAGCACCAAGCGAAAAGTCCGAAACTATAACTAGATATCTGCTCGACGACGTACTGGATCGAGAAGAGAACCAGCTGGGCGACTCGCTGGCTCTGGATGCGGCGTCGTGCAGTAGCGCGACTCTTGAAGGTATACCGGATATCGACTATGGAGGCTCCCAGTTATCAGACGACACTACGCAGGATACTCAGCCTACGACCGAATCAGCAGATCGAGTTCGACCTCAGCGCTCTGTTAAAAAAAAATGGGTGCAGGATGAAAATTCGACTCGAAGCAGTCGTTCCTGACAATGTCGAAGGAAGATGGATGGTTGTTCATCTGGCTGGATCCGATAAACATAACCACCCACCTTCACAAGATCCAAGCTTTCATCCCGGTCATCGTCGGCGCGACATAGACCGTTTGATGCCCTCTGACCTGACGACTGCTGATGTCGTTGCTGCTCAAAACGGGGCTGGTGTATCTCTCCAGGTCGTTATCTCAACTATCCGTCGTGCTGATCCTACCAGCTCTATCATTGACAAAGCCATCTCCAATAGAAAGGACGCAGAACGACGGGCGGCGTTGAGAGGAGATTCGCCAACGGAGTTTCTGCTCAAGCAGCTCGAGACCAACGGGCTTTTCTACAAAGTAGACGTGAACCCCGACAATTCGCGACTTAGATCGCTGTTTTGGTCACACCCGGATATCCAAGACATCTACGGCTGGAACTCGGATGTCTTGATTTTAGACTGCACGTACAAGACAAATTCGTTCGACTTGCCTTTGCTCAACATTATCTCAATGACTAACACGAATAAGGTCTTGCCGATTGCGCAGTGCTGACTTCCAGGAGAGAAAGAAGAAAATTTCGTTTGGACCCTTCAACAACTGCGCGAGATGATTTCCAAGTAAGAAATTTCGCTCCCTACTGTTATCCTCTGCGATCGAGATCAAGCCTGCATGAATGCATTGGATCGTGTATTCCCTGAGGTGCCGTCTCTTGTCTGTCGCTGGCATATGAACCGGAATGTTTTGGCTAAGACACAGCCAATTCTTGGCCAAGTGGAGAATCCGCACCCAGCGTCAGGTCACGACAAATACGAGAATTCTGTGGAAACTGATCGGTTTATGGAGCTATATTACAGTGCACCAGATTCTCCCACCAAATCGGATTTTGTCGAAAGGCGTGCGGCTCTTAGATCGGCGAACGTTGAATTGGCGGAGTATCTTGATCATTGGTGGAAGTACAAGACTAATTTTGTGCGTGCTTGGACTTCTCATTATTTACAACTCGGCTACCGCGACACGTCACCGGTAGAAGGAACCCATTCCAAGTGCAAGAAGTGGTTGGAATCGTCAAGGGGAGACCTGCTTACTTGTTTCAAGAAGATGCTCCCGTGGTGGGTTTCGTGCATCTAGAATATCCGACTGGATATCGAGAGGGATGTGGGTTCAGTGTCGTATACGCTCCAGGACGAACGAGACTCCGCTGTTGTGATGTCCATCAGTCGCTACGCTCTGGTGGAAACTGCGAAATTGTGGGATCAAGCTGCCAAGATTGTTCGCAAAAATTCTACTATCGAGTCCTGTACCGGCATTTTCAGACGCACAAACGGAAGACCTTGTCTTCACGATTTGATCGAGCTCGTTAAATCGGAGCGACAACAGAAGCTGAAAGTTCAAGATTTCCATTCACATTGGTGAACTAGACGTGGACTAACAGAAGATTGCAGTGTAAGAATTTTAGAACCCACCCCAATTAGGCAAAGCAAAGGATCCAAGCGCCACAAGTCTAGCAAGCACAAGAAAGACCACGGCATTTCGGGGACAGCTAGGGGCGCTAGCCGACATGAATCATCCAGCCCCGCAACCAACTTGCCAGCAAACGTTCTTGGAACTATTGACGTCTAGCAATGACTATCCAAGACCACAACAGCTCCCCCTACCGTCTTTGGACTCTCTTTTGCAGCAACACGAAAGCGAACAAGGGAACGACCAAGCGGCATCAATCTATTCCGGAGCCTTCTTGCCGCCGTGAGACTGGGGGCTAGGCCTTTTTAGGCTGTACAAGGTAGTTGCAAGCGGACAAGAGGACATGCATATATTCACTTCACAAACAATCGTTAAAACGTTCAAACAATAAATGAAATTTGCATCGCAGTATCGTGACTTAGTAGTTAAATGTACATTCAAACTGAGATAATTGACAACAATTATGATAAAATTTTAATATACTAGATATGGCTCTGCAGCGTCCTAAACGTATGAGTCGTTGTGGCCGATTAAGTATGTATTTGGTATTTTCGATTTAAGTAACGCTAAGAAACTTTTTAGTTTAAATAAGACTAGTAGTTGACAAACTCAAGATCGTAATCTGCGCAGTAAAAGTAAATCAAAAAGTTATATTTTCAAAAACAAATAGTCAAGTATATTGAAAAGCGATTTTTGTTATACGAGATTGAAATTTTTTACCATGGAACCTTTCCAGTCCCAGGACCTGGCCACTCCTAGTGCCTGTCAAGTGTGGAGGAAGAGCCAGGACTGCGTCCGGCTCCAACCTGAGGCTCAAGTGCCTCCTGGACTTCTACGGACCATTGGCTGGCGAGCCGCCAGCCCCATTCTACTGCTAATCCTACGAATATACTACCGGGTTTTCTCACCGTGTGCTGCTGCTCACTCGGCAACTTGCGCAGCGCGCAGCAAGCAGCAGCACTCGGCGTTTTTCTCCCTGCTGGACTTTCAGTCCCCCGCAATTGACATTGTTACGACTACTTCCTTCATCGCCATGGTCACCACTCGGAGCAACCGAGGAGCGACCATCACTCAGGTTATGAACCCAAGAAGGGAAGCTGGAGGCCCAGCAAGGAGCTCGCGAAGCTCGCGAGCTTAGGACGAGTTGCAGTTGCCTGCAATAACAGACGAGGCACCCGCGACGTCGCAAGCGTCATCCACTCGGGTTGAGCAACAGCTCGAGCTTCTATTGGCCCAGTTTGGGACCGTCATGGCTACATTGACCAATCAGCAGCAAGTGCGGGATGTTCCAGCTCAAGAATCCTCGCCGCGTCCACAGAGACGGCTCATTCGGGAATTCTCAGCGGCTCGAGCACAACTGCAGCGAGTGTCAACGCCGTACGGGCCTCGCCGAGGAAATCCCAGCGCAGAAGACCACACCGCCGGCGCCAGCACTCGTCAAGGCGAGCCGCCAAGAACCCCGTCATCGTCCGTGGCTGCAGCGCAGCCAGGCCAGACCGAAGCCGGGATCGACTCCGCTACGGACAACGCAATGGCAGGTGACCACCGGTGCACGCGGTGCATGAACCAGAGCGGACATGTTAAGTTGAACGCAAGACTTACCGATGACAACTATCAGACGTGGCGCATCGAGATTTGCTCCATTCTCGACGCCGCGCACCTGTTGGACCCCATCATGGAGCGCGAGACGATGGCAGACCAACGTAACGAAGGACAGCGCGGCTGTTTTAAGCAACGACTACGCGTTGCTCAACGTGAACTAACGATGGGACTCAGTCAAGAACTACAGATGCGATTTACGAGTGTTATTCAACGGCTGATCCTATCCTACTGTGGCGTACACTGGAAGATCACTTCGACAACCATCCTGGAATCAACAGTGTGTTCCTCAAGCGCGATATGCTGAATCGACGTCTGCAACGTGACGAACGACTTGACGATTACATTCGGGACATCGACGACTACCAGCAGAGACTTCGCCGCTCGAACCAGCAGCTGCCTGAGTAAGAGGCCATCTCTATCCTGTTGTCGAACACCGTGGGTGTGTACCCTGCGGTGGTGAACGAGCACGAAGTACGCATTGGGCGCGGTGAATCCATCAGGTGGGAGCAAGCGATCGAGCGCCTTCGACTCGCTGACCACTCACGCCAAGAGGCCGAGCTACAGCAAGGACGTGGTGGAGGAGGACGTGCAGTCCAGCGAGATGTTGCATTTGTTGGTGGCCGTGGCAACGGTCGCCACGACGGTGGAGGACGTCGTAGCTCGAGCAGCAGCCAAGCTCGTGGCAACAACCGCAACAATCGTCGCAGCCGCAGCCGCAGCTCATCGCCGTATGGGCGAAACAAGCGACAGAAGAGCAAGAGCTCATCCCCTGCGAGGGACGAAATCGCCAGGCGCAAGGCGAAAACGAAGTGCAACACCTGTGGCGAACAGGGGCATTGGAGTGGCGACTCCAAGTGCCGACAGCGCGGCAACAACAACAACTCCGGTAACATCTCGAGCAACCCGCCGCGCAGGATGGTCGATGTGGTTACTGTGAAGACAGTCAAGTCGGCTGCACCGACTCAAGCTGAAGGACATGTACTTGCTGTGCGTGGTAACTTCAACTACAAGGACAAGGACCAGGAAGCTGCGCTTCAAGTACATCCGCGTAATGTACCGCATGTGGACGCCGCGCCAGTGCAAGAAAGTGATGAGCATCAAGACCAGTGAAGCTGAGAACCCCATGGCGTTGCTGCACAACCGCACGTGAACATGGATACTATCAAGGATATGGTCAGCAACTATAACTTTGACATCAACATGCAATCGAAGAATTTTGCCTCCTACGAATGCATTCCATGCTTAGAGTCAAAGACGAAGCGCATGAGCTACAAGCGCAAGCCGCCTCGCTCTGCAAAGCCATTGCAGAAGCTTTGCGTCGACTTATGCAGTGTTGGAGTCGATACTATCTCAAAGTCAAATCAATTTCTATTGATTATTGATGAAGCTACAAGATACAAGTGGGGATTTCTATTGGCATACAAAGACGAAGCTACGGACCTGATTCAGAAGCAAATTCGCTGGATTCAGAACAAGTTTCCGAAGGCGAACATCAAGACGCTGGTCTCTGATGGTGGTGGCGAGTTCGTCAACACGCAGCTTGAGGCCTTCTGCGAGGACCTCAGCATCAAAACCCGATCATCGAACCCCTACAGCCCGCAGGAGAACGCTATCGTGGAGCGAGCGAACCAGACTGTCATGCGGTAGGTCAGATCGATGCTACAAGCTACGCAGATGCCAGTCATATTGTGGGGAGAGGCCTTCATACATGCAATCGAGACTATGAACGTTACCCCTACGCAAGCGTTAAGGGACAAGCAGTCCCCGTACGAGGCTCTGTACGGTAAGTTACCAGATCTCAGCATGCTGCGCACGTCGGGATGCCTTGTGCATGCACACATTCCGGACGATTCCAGGCAAAGGAAGGAGAAGCTTACTCCAAGGACGCAGATGTGCTTGTTGCTCGGCTACAGCGAGAAGACCAAGGGCTACAAGCTGCTGAACCTGCGCACAGGATCAGTAACCACATGTCGTGACGGAAACATGAAGGCGCATGAGAAGTACACGGTGCACACTGTGTATATTGTGCAACTTCTTGCTAACACCTACGCTTATGGAGACTACGACTTACCTTCGGAGATCCCGATCGTGCCGATCCGGACGACGATGTCTACGTACCTGCAGCTTCCTGCAGAGCATGCAGAGAAGCAAGCAGCGGAGATGGAGAAGCTGGTCATTGCTGGAGAGAGGCAGGACCAAGGTGTTGAAGATGAAACCGAGTCTGCGACTCGAAGTGGTGACCCACAGCGGACAAGCGAGGCCGCAGAGAAGCCAGCAGCTTCAGTGGGAGGCTCCAGGCGGAAGAACACCAAGGGCGAGAGGAAGTAAGCGAAAGCGCGTGCAGATCGAGTGAGAGCCTCGAAGACCAAAGACAGTCGACGTGAAGCTCACGAAGACGAGAACTGGGAGCCACGCAAGGAGCAGAAGTCGTCGCCGAACGACAGCGCAGCTGCCTCGCGACCGAAGCGGAAGCAGCAACCCTCCGCCCGACTCAAGGACTACGTAGTGACGAATGTGACGAAACAATATGTTGAGGATGTGCTGATCCCCATTAGTCACAAGCATGCGGCAAGGTCAAAGAAGTGGAAGGAGTGGAAGGCGGCAATGCAAGTCGAGATGGACTCGCAGCTGCAGCACGGAACTTGGGTGCTCGTGCGCCGCATGGAGGCCAAGGGCAAGCGTGTCATCTCGTGCAAGTGGGTCTACGCACTCAAGAAGGATTCTACGGACCGGATCAAACGATACAAAGCTCGGCTAGTGATCAGATGCTTTCTACAACGCATGGGCATCGACTACAGTGAAACCTACGCACCTGTCATCAGGTTTGAGACGATCAGATGCGTGATCGTATACGCGTTACAACGCGGATGGGCTATTCTGCAATTCGACGTCAAGACCGCGTTCTTGTACGGTGATCTCGACGAAGAGGTCTACATGGAGCAGCCTCCAGGCTTTGGAGAAGACTCTACGCGCTACATATGCAGATTAAAGAAGAGCTTGTACGGGCTGAAGCAAGCGCCACGCGTTTGGTATAAGACATTGCACAAGTTCCTGACGAAGATCGGACTCGAGCGCCTCGACTTTGACTACGAACTTTACGCCAGGAAAGTGGGAGGAGAAGTCACCATGTTGCTCACGGTGTATGTTGATGACCTGCTACTACTCGGCCCTAGTGACCTTTGCGCTAAGGTTGCTAAGCAACTCAGAGAGGCGTACGAGCTCACTGCTCTCGGACCAGTCCAGTATCTACTAGGCGTGGAGATTTTGATCGACAGCGAGCGTCGACATGCGGTATTCTTCCCGCGGCAGTATATTAAGGAGGTGTTGAAGCGATTTCACATGCAGGGATGCAACGCGGTTGCAACACCGGAAGCGCTGCGCGCTGAGGTGGTCAAGGATGCTAAAGATGACTCCCCGCCCCCGTACCGGGAGCTCGTTGGTGCACTACAATATCTGGTCTCAGCCTCAAGGCCGGACATTGCGCACGCTGTGCGTCATCTCAACAAGTACCTGTCCTGCTTCGACCACACACACTATGCTATGGGTAAGAGGGTGCTACGCTACCGGAGTGGTACTCAAGACCATTGTTTGGTGATGGACATTGTTGCCGGGAACGACGTCAAGCTGACGTGTTACACCGACGTTGACTACGCTAATGACCCTGATGACCGAAAGCGTGTTAGCGGGTTCGTGAACGTTCGTCAATGGCAATGTGGTTTCGTACGGATCAAGGAAGCAAGAGATCAACGTACAGAGTACAACGGAAGCAGAGTATATTGCTATGAATGAAGGTACCAGATATCTACAGTGGCTACGGGGACTCTGTGAAGAACTATGCTGGGAGTTTGCGACTCCGGAGATCCTCGGCGATAACAAGTCGTGCATCTACCTGACTGCCAAGCCTGGCAAGCACAGCAAGAACAAGCACATTATGAACAAATTTCACTTGGTGCGCCACCTCGTGGAGGACGAGCAGCTACGGATTCGCCATGTTGGCACCGACGACATGATAGCCGACGCGATGATGAAGCCGTTGCCGAAGGACAAGTTTGAACATTGCCGTGATGGTATGAAGGTGCTGCGCATCGACCGTCACCAAGTCTCAGCTCGTTCAGTGGGAGCCAAACTTCATCGCCGCGTGTGAGCGCAAGCTACTACTACCAGTTCATGCATGCAAAGGACAAGAAGGAGAAGGAGTGTCACCAAGGACGAAGCGTCGTGCTGCAGCGCAGCTAGAAGACACCAAGGACATCGTGGTGAGCTCTGAAGGTGATCGTGTTGAAGCTACGCTTCGACAAGATCAAGTGGGAGTGTCAAGTGTGGAGGAAGAGCCAGGACTGCGTCCGGCTCCAACCTGAGGCTCAGGTGCCTTCTGGACTTCTACGGACCATTGGCTGGCGAGCCGCCAGCCCCATCCTACTGCTAATCCTACGAGTACTACCGGGTTTTCTCACCGTGTGCTGCTGCTCACTCGGCAACTTGCGCAGCGCGCAGCAAGCAGCAGCACTCGGCGTTTCTCTCCCTGCTGGACTTTCAGTCCCCCGCAATTGACATCGTTACGACTACTTCCTTCATCGCCATGGTCACCACTCGGAGCAACCGAGGAGCGACCATCACTCAGTGCGTCCTTTCACCATGGGCGTTACGTCTCAGTACGTATCTGAAATATTAAGCTCTAAGTTAATGGGCCGTCAGTTTTTAAGTGAGGAGGAGAAAGCGGCATACGCCACGCGTCCTCCTTGCCAGTAACATGCCTCGGCAAGTGACCTGTCACTTATTAAGCGTCCTTAAGTGAGGTGTTTGAAGCTTTTCTATTGGTTCCAAATTTGACCAATTATAGTGCATTCTAACACGAGCCTTGTCTGCCTCCTCTCCTTTTCTTCTATTCATGACGTCGTCGAGCTCCATGACTCGACAGAGGCCGGGATGACGTCAAGGTAGTTCCTTTTTAATCGAAGCTTGGCATATCGTGGTTGCTTGTTGCGCTGAAAACGCTGTTTAAAAGTAATTTTGCTCACATAAAAATACACTAAAATAATCCTGGCCTCCAAAGGATTTTTTTTAGCACGGAGGAAATATGAAAAATAACGCGGGACTTTTCGGCTTATCAAATTATTTCATAATTCCGTTTCACAAATTTACCTTGTCAAGATGATTTTTACTCTCAAATAACGTCCTACCATTCAAAACGATGGATGCACTACAGGCGGCGTGCGTGGCGCTGCACGCGCCGCCAACAGGCCCGGAGGCCGAGCGCCGCCGTGCAGAAGCGGAAGCCGTGCTAGAGCATTTTAAGCGCAGTCCCAGCGCTCTAGGTGATGCGATGACATTACTGCATGACACCCAGACGCCCCCGGTTGTGCAGTTTCATTGTGTAGCTACCATCCGCGAGGTAACATTACAGCGCTGGCCACTGCTGGCGCTGCCAGACAAGTCGCAAGCGCTCGATTTCCTGATGCAGCTGCTTCTAGAGCGCGGTGCTGCGCTGCCGAGATTCGTGGCAGCTGCAGCGCTGCAAACCGCGGTGCTACTGGTCAAACGCGGCTGGCTCGACCGCCTTGAATCCGAACGGACAGCAGTGTTACAGCAGATGGGTGCTATGTTGCAACCTGGCAACGCTATAGCTCATCGCCTATTGGCTGCCAAGTGGTTGCTGGCGTTCGTGACAGAGTTCTCGTCCGCATCGAGGGCGAGCAACATGATGCAGCCTGTGGAGTTCCACACCAAGTCACGACGCACATTGGAGAAAAGTGGAGGACTAAAGAATATTGTTGCACTTGCTGTGCCGCTACTGGAAGACTCTATTCGCAGCACGACAACGGCCTGTGGAGACGCTGGATCTGCGGGAGATGTACCCGTGGAACAATTGGAGCTGCTGGATGCAGCCTTTCGCCTTTGTGTAGAGCTATTGAACTGGCAGTTTGAAGACCCGCGTGTTGGAAATTTGACTTGGAGTTTGAGCGTCTCGGCGAACGATGACGATACTGGAAACCGGCCGGTACTGACCCCGCAGGCTTCTTGGAGACCGATTTTGGTGCGACCGGATTTGATTCACTCAGCTTTCAATACTTACGCTTTCTTTCGCAATGTAGCGGCCAAGAACGAGACGCTACTTCACTTGGCTAGGCAGTTCCTCATTCAGTTGGCGTCGCTGCAGGGCCCCATCTTCGAGCGCAAGACTGAACAGGTGCAATTTATGGGTGAAATCTTCCGTGGTGTCGTCACAGTTGTGCACAACCCATTTCTGGATCTCTTGGCGCAGAGTGATATTACTGGATATGAGCTGGCAACTCGCGAATTGATCGACTGCTGCCAGTTGCTCTTCCGTCTCGTTAACAACATAGGACTTACAGCGCTGCTTCAAGCTAACTCGGGACAACTTTTCTCTTCATTTATCGAGGAATTGGCCTCATTGACTAGTAAACTCCTACATTCAGCTTTGGAGCGGATTCAACGCCATTTACGTGAGAACCCTAATGAAGCGATTGATGAGCTTTGGGAACTCGAAGGCGTGGACATTCTGTTGGATGCATGGGTAGCCCTCGCAAACGACCCGCAGCTTTTAGAGGTGGGAGTCTCGACCTCCAAACCGGAGGCAGAACAGGCGCTGGCACTTCTCAGCGAGGCTTCGGCCCCGGTGGTAGAGCTCTACCTTCAGGTTCAACTGGAGTTGTGTGCTGTGGAGGCGCTAGCCGAACAGGATGAAGAAGAGGATGTAGAAGACAACGCCGCCAGCAGTGCACGGGAGCAATATGAGTTGGCTGCAGCTCTTGCCAGACTTAACTCCTCTGCATCAGCATCGTTGCTAGTGTCACTCGTGCAGTCATTGATGAACAATGTGCAGCAGGAGCTGACAAAGCTGCAAGGGCGTGATGAAATGACCCCAGTGTTATCACAACTCTTTGAGAAGCTGCACTTTGTTATCCTGTTTGTGGGACTTCTCCTTGCCGACGACTTTGAAGGTGAACGACCAGGTATCCCCAACCGAATTCACGCCACTCTTCAAGGCGTTGCCACTGCTGAAGAATCTCCAGTGGTTAATCTCATCATGCTGATCATGAGTCACATCCTTGAATTCGAAACAACCCGTTTGGCACAGAACCCGTCGAGTGACTGCGTCAGTCCCTTCGTGTCTGAAGGACTGATCAAAATGACTACGCGTTTGTGTGCCACGTACCTTTCCCCGGATGTTCTTGTGGACGCGGGCGAAGTGGCGCCAGCTCTTCTACAAGTATTTGGATTCCAGAACGGAGGCCGTGCTGGCGAACTGTTGAATTTCCTAGTTCAAAAAGCGACGGTATACTTACTTCACTGGCCAACGCAGCCCGTGGTCATGGAAAACCTAATCGAGTTCTTGCTGGTACTCTCCAACACGCGAGCCATCAACTCGGTCTTGAATTCGGAGATGTGGCAATCACTGGTTCAAGCCAATGCATCGGCTGGATCCTTCATTACTCCTACAGGCGGGAATGCGACTCCACTGAATACTGCTGTTGCCAGAGTCCCGGCTAATCTCCGTGGACAACTTACAGAAGCGGTGTGCCGAGCAGGAATGGCGTCAACGGATCAGAATATGCGGGCAGCTCACTTCCAGGCCGTGAGCCAACCTCTCGCGCAGCGTCTGCAGCAGCTCATCGCAACGCCGAATTTCGAGTCTAAGCAGACTGCAAATGATGTGCGTGTGAAGGAAGAACTCAAGCTGCTTGTGGAAATGTATTCGGGTGTCGCGCGCTCTACTGAATCAACCAGCCACGCTCCTATCACGACCTTCTGCCTGCCTGCATTGCCTGTTATTGTCAAGATTTTCCAGATCTTCCAGGGCGACTCACAGATTGTGAACCTTATCCTGAACTTCTTTTGCGTTATGGTGGAAGCGCAGTTGTGTTACCTCTCCCCTCGCGATGCGCTGCAGGTGTACACGGCCAGTGACGATCTCATCCATGCATACTGCCGTCACAATTTAGGCAAGAAGAGCATGTTGGGCGACGCTGAAGAAGAAAATTATACGGATCTGCTGGCTTTGCTTACGCTGCTATCGCATCTGGTGGCCAAGGACTTTATCGATTTCTCGGAAGACGCCACAACGCAACAGGAGCAGGCCGACGCTACTCGTGCTTCTAGTGTTGTAGCTGACGTTGTCTTTTCGGGCCTGCGCCAGGTGATCCCGCTCATGACGGAGCAGTTATTGGCTTACCCCAGCTTGAGCAAGCAGTACTTTACGTTAGTGTCGTATATGGTCGAAGTCTACGCGGAAAAGCTCGTTTCTTTGCCAAGTGAGCTTTTCCAGATGCTGCTGCACTCGCTGTTAATCGGAATGCGTCAGGTGTCGGTGGATGTGGTGCGCAACAGCTTCCAGGCACTCGGTGAGCTTGCTAGTTACCACTGGAAAGCACTGCAGAGCCAGAGACCAGGACTCGAGGCTCACCGCCAGCAGCACCCTGATATGTTTATGGCCTTCCTACGCGTTATTTTCCGCATGGCGCTCTTCGAAGACTTCAATCCCGTCATCCTGGATGGGTGTGCAGGCACGCTTTTCCCGCTCATTTTGATAGAGCAAGCGCGGTACTCAGCACTGGCTGAAGAAATTAGCCGCGAGCAGGCAAGTATGGACGCTGGCAGCCAACAGCGGTTGGCTGCAGCATTTGCAGAGCTCATTAGCTTTTTGACGCCCGGGGATATTGCCACTGGCACAGCAACCACGCGCAAGATGCGAATGCAGTTTAAGACCAACCTGTACGCGTTCGTAGCTGAGGCGCGGGGCTTCCTCCAGGTGAAGTAACATTAGATCATCATCTTGAGATTATTCCAGCGCTTAAATGATTTCTAGAATTCATGTGGGTTATCGCTACCCGAACGTCTACACCAACAAAGTTGAATCCACCATCGTATTGCCAATCTCGTCTCAGCAGCCATCAAGAGCTTCGCGATGAGGACGGGTTTATCAGCCAGTGCAGGCCTACACTTCAGCAGTTCCTCTACCTGTGCGTTGTCCGACCAGTCTCGAGTCGTTGTCCAGCTTTCGACAACGGCGGCTACACTTGCTCTCGCCATTAACACTAGCCCGTTGGCTCTAGTAGGAGGTGGGTTTGAACTGGCCACTAGTGTATCCACAGGCAATGTGTACAGAATTAATCACTACAGCGCGACGAAGTGCTGGGATCGATATGCTCTTCTGCAGCAGAAATGTCACCATGAACCCGAAAACACGCACATGCGGAAAAAGTTCTCTAGCAGAACGTCGTAGTAATCTTTCTGACAACTTGAGATTCGCAATAAAAATCATGTCGACAAACCACTGCGTTCCACCTTCCTCTTCAATTAGTGTTGGCAAGTTCTCAAAGTCTTGAGCAAGCTGTTCAACCTCCATTACAGGCTATAGCGTTGGGTTAACGAAATTGATACGCAAATACTCGAGCAAAGCTCAATTGGAACATCCATGAACAATTGAAAACATACAAAGGAAAGACGCATTCCCGTTAGTTGGCAGTAGTTTCAAACGGATGGAGCACGCCACTACCAACACAGTAACTAACACTCTGCATCCCGGTTCGTCTTCGCTTCCTCAAAAAAGTTGGTGCCGAGCAGTTCATCCGGTAAATATGTTTGATCTTTGAGTTCTTCTGCAGTATAGTGCGGGTTGTATTTGTATCCTTTGGCATACCCCAGCTCTTTCATCAGCTTTGTGGGGGCATTACGGATATGAAGCGGAACGTCCGGCAATGCGCCTTTATTCCACTCATGGATCGATTGTTTCGCACGTTTGTACGCAGCGTAAACCTCAATGGACTTTGGCGCACGCGCCAGCATCGTCGCAACATGTGCAAGCACGACGTCACACTCCGGCATCCCAACAAAGTGAGCGGCTTGATACGCTGATACTGCCATGGGAAGCAGTTCAGGAGCTGCTAGCCCGACGTCTTCGCTTGCAACTCGAATGAGCCGCCGAGCCACGTACAGCGGATTTTCACCGCCTTCAAGCATGCGGGCCAACCAGTAAAGTGTCGCGTTTTCGTCGCTGCCTCGAATCGACTTGTGTAGTGCACTAATGACGTCGTAGTGCATATCGGCGTTTCGATCGTAGAACAGTGTTTGCCGATGAGCAAAACAGTGCTTGACGTGGGTGGCAGATACCCGAAGCACTTGCTTCTCAGCATCCATGGGGGCGGTTTGAAGTGCCATTTCCAAGCAGTTCAACGCAGCTCGGGCATCACCAGCACACTGTGTGGCCAAGTACTTAACAGCCTCGTCCTCAGCTTTGATGGACACTTCATTTGCATTGTCGTCCTGGTCAAGACTGCCGCCATTTGACTGAGTTTCCGATTGCTTAAGCGACCGCACCCCCAGCTGCGTGATCCCGTAGCGCACGTCGTATAATTTTCTCGATAGACTCTGGCGTGTGTTTCTTTAGTGTATACACCCGGCAACGACTCAGTAGTGCGTTGTTCACTTCGAACGACGGGTTCTCCGTTGTAGCGCCAATCAACGTAATGGTGCCGTCTTCTACCGGTGGCAGGAAGAAATCCTGCTGACTTTTGTTAAAGCGATGGATCTCATCAACGAAGACGATGGTTCGTCGACGGAACATCTTGCGTTCGCCTCTAGCTCGGTCCACGGCGTCCTTCATATCGCCAGCCTTGGACGTCGCACCCGACAAGCTAATGAACTTGCAGTCAGTATTCTTGGATATCACATGTGCCAACGTCGTTTTACCGCATCCTGGGGGTCTGTACAAACATTAAATTCATAACGCAACGTCAATGCTTTACCACCCCTACCATCCCATTGCATTCACTCATCCTACCCCCATAAAATCATATTAGGCACTCGATCAGCTTCAATTAGCGCAGACAACAGGCTTCCTGGGCCTAGAAGCTCCTCCTGACCCACCAGATCATCTAGATCTTTGGGTCGCATCCGCTCTGCCAATGGTACAGCAGACACATCATCGGTTGTCGAGCGTTTGCGCTTCTTTAAAGCAGAAGACGACGGAGAATTCTGAGGTGGTGGACTTCGATTGGGCGTTCTGCTGGTCGTTGGAGACTTGGTCTTGGCGGATGGCGATGGTGAGCGGAATTGCGTCTTAGGCTGGTCCTGCTTGGCCAAACATGCGTCTACGTGCAGCATGAGGTTCTCAGCGCGAACATGCCGCGAACAGATCGGACACTCCGTGGTGGCCATGTTTCGTCCTTGATCTAATTATCGAAAATGGACTCAAACTAGCCAATAAAAGATTTCTTGTACATATATTCAACCAATCACATGTATTGGCGGGAAATACTACTAGTTTCCCGCCACAAACAATACAAAACCTACTCACTTATTGGGTACCAAGCAGGATGGTTGCCGGCCCTGCGTCGAACTCGTCCAGGAGGTGTCGGTCCTGCGTTGACGTGAGATCCTCCTCCTGCAACAAATTGGCAGTCAGGATGTTGTCTTCCGGGATTGCGCGGTACTTGCGACGGAAGCGGTGGCGAGCTGGTTTGCGGGTGTTGGGCCGCTCTCCTAGCTTCCGGCAGGCACATTCCTCCGTCTCTGTGGTTCCGTTGCTAGCAGCCTCTACAAACGCGACGTCACTGTCATTCAGGGGCGAGTCTGACGTGGTGTTAGCGTCCCATTCGGAGCTCTTGGAGTCTTTGCCCGTACTTAAAGCTGCAGTTGTCAGCAGTGGAGGTGTTGGGTCCGATGGTTGATGCTGACGTTGTAGACTCTTGAACCACCCGGGAGACTGCACAAGCTGCGATGGCAGCGGAGCTCCTAGTGTTGAGCCCGGACGACGTGCTGCGCTGCCTCCAGTGCCGCCTCTACTTGTGTGGCCGTCGAGAACGACGAATGGCTGGCAGATGTTAATGTTGTCTTCGTCGAAGTAGAACATGTCGTCGCTGCTGCTTTTAAAAGGTTGCGAGTGCTTGATGTGGTGCATGAAGCCGGCGTTCATGAACATACTGCCAAGTCGGGTGGCTTCACCCACTGTTGCAACCGCTTCAATATCTTGCATTTTCCTCGCCGCTTGCTCACCGGTGAAGCTCTTGGCGTTGGCCCCATTGCCGCCACTCTTCATCATGATCGAATCACTCTCCATTTCCTCGCACATCTCGAGTGCAAAGACCGAGCAAACCTCTTCTTGAATCCGTTCAAGAGCAACTACGATCTTCTGAGCTGATGGACGCAGACGAGCTTCCACGTGCCAAGAGCTCGTAATGAGCTCTGCCAGACCAGCATGCAGTTGGCTGTCGAGCTCAGGCCTGGCACCGGCCATTACGGATTCGAGGACACGCAGGTGGTTGTTGTTCGTGCCAGGGTACTTTTCAGCGCCCGGATTGAGGATATCCCACATCGTGATCGCCAGTGAGTAGACATCAGCAGACTCACCGTATGAAGCTACTCCTGCTCGTCCATTGATGATCTCTGGAGCCATATAATCGACGGTTCCTTTGACAGTCATTTCTGGAGCTGCCTTGCGCGCTGGAGGGGGTAGTATTGGTATCGTCCTCGATCTTTCTTCAGGGGTGCCAGGGGGTGTCAATGGGATCCCCCTGCCACCATGTACGCTGGAATCTGCATTCGAAGTAGACTCCGGGTACTCTTGATAATGCTCTACATCATTCGACCCACTGCTCGTAGCAGCAGTAGCGCCTGCCGCTGATGCCGATGAAGTAACAACAGCCGTGCTCTTGGTGTCGTTTAGGTTACTCACCTCCCACGAGATATTGGCTTTGGGTAGACTGCGGGACTCGCCGAAGTCTGTGAGCTTGACATTGCCTTCGACATCAACAAGAAAGTTGCTTGGCTTGATATCGCGATGCACGAAAGCCGGAGAGAAGCTATGGAGATACGCCACCGCTCGAGCAGCATCCAACATATAGCCCAAGTTCAGTAGAAACTGTTGACGTCGAGGTTGTTGCTGTCGACGTGCCATCGCCTGCGCAACCACATCGAGACTCCCCACGCAAAGTTCAGACACCAAACAGATCGTCGGAGGTGAAACACACATTCCGTAGAACTTGACAATATTCGGGTGGTTGAGTGCACCGCAAAGAGCAGCTTCGTGGGAGAACTCGGCAACAGTGTCTTCAGTCACGCTGCTGGGCGTGTACACTTTGATCGCAACCGGAGTCTTCGGGTGCAAGAATCCATTATAAACCACAGCAGTGGAGCCGACACCGATACGCTGCTTGATGTGGAGAACGGAGAAGTCGATAATATACTTCCGGTGCATCTCAATCAGCACATGAAGGCCTTGCGATGACACTCGCTCGTGAATGTTTCCCTTGCGGAAAAGTGCTTGGAGGCCAACTGCTCGCTGGCCGAGGCCTCGCCAGTGCTCCGTGTCAGCCTTTAGCAAACGCCACACGAATAATGGGCAAAGAGATCCCCACAAAACGTGAATGTAAATCAACACGTAGCCTAGGTGCAAGTTCTTGCTGTTGAACGCGGTGTGGTAAGCGAACTCGAGAATTTGATAAACAATGCCAAAGACACAGTACTCGCGCAGAGTACGCTTACTGGCGCGCGCTGGTGGACGAACAATCACGTAAACGTACAGTGGGAAGATAAGGAAGCGAGCTATGGCCACAATCCAAAAGTTTGAGGTCGAGTTCTCGTTTTGGCCGTTAATTGTAGTGAACCAGACGAATGGCAACGCGTAACACGCGAGAACGATCGTGATGGTAAGCGATCGCATTAACGCTGGCATCGAGACGCTCTTCTGTAGCATGAAAACTAGCGCCAGCTCCATCACAAAGTGGCGTCCAGCGCTTTGTGCCTCAGTTGCAACGTTACCATAACTCGGAGCGTAGAATCTTGCGATTAGCGCGATCATGAAGTACAGGGCGTAAGTACCCGTCGCAGCACACAAAATCCACAGCAGCGGCTCAAATGCAGGTAGCAACGTTTTCCGCGAAGCTTCAGAGTCACCCTTGAGCGCGACGTGGCGGTTATGACGCATGTAGGCGATCAGCGCCGCAGACAGCAACGACATTGATCCATAGCTCACCAACAAAACAATCATGAGCACCACAACCTGTCGTTTGGAGTAGTCAGATAGTCCATCGTCCTCAACTGATGCAGAGTCACTCAATTCTGAATCTGCAGGCGTCGAAAGAGCTACTACAAGAAGCCGGGGAACAGCCTCCCGAAGATTTGGTGTTGCTTGGTCTAGTAGAGTAGTCATTGCGCTTGCTGCTGTCCTCCCCTCTTGGAAAAAGGAGTTATGACGACACGTCAAAAGTAGGAAAAGCTTCAAGGCGTGACAATCGAAACGCCCAAGAAGAGACGGTTGCACTGCATGCAACGCGTCGTGTCCTAATGGGAAAGAAGAGAAACGGTGGTAGAAGGTTATTTTTCTGTAATGCAAGTCTTGAATAACGAAGGGCTCCAGTATATGTAGTGTGTATTATGCACGATGAAGATGACCCCTTGTGTCAGTTAATGAAACTGAACTCTTTAGCCATGAAGCCGGTTTATCATTCTTAACTCCAGCGTGCTCGACAACGTTGTGATATGCGTTACCATTAGCAGCGTGACCAGCAGTATTGCAACTTGTGCAGCTCATCTGTGGATTTTGCGTTGCTTGTTCTTTCGAGTCTGTAGTTCGTATCCATTAAAGATCCTCTTCCGAAAACTGTAACTGAAGCTGGTTTTCACCGCTAGTGTTCCATTACAGAGTCTTTACAGCATCCGATGTTCGAACGGCTAGAAACAATATCTCCTTTATTTGCTCCATTGCACTGAGCGTTATCCACACTTACGACTTTGAGTCGTACAGTGGAATGGATTGACAAACACGGCTAGGCCATGTTTGTGGCCGTTCCAGAATGCACGTCTGGATCGTTGTAGTCGTTCGAGTTTGACGGCTCATCCACCAACAAAGCGGCCGTCAAGATGTTGACCATCGCCTCTGGTGCAGTTTGATACTGTTTTCGTCGCCGAAATCGGGAAGATCTGCTGCGGACAAGACGTTGTCCTAGTTGTCGGCATCGGCAAGTGGCATCTTCGCGAGTTCGAACGAAACTGAAAGAACCTTTAGGATGACCATCATTGGAGACCCAAGTCAGCATTGGAATACTTAACTCACTTGCGTTTAGTGAGCTGCTTTGTTCGAGTGATCTCTCAAGGTGACTCGGTAGTGGTTCATCGAAGGCAAAATAGTATCTCGCAGTCGCACAATTTTCAAACCCCCTCGAGTGACCAACATGGTGAAGGAAACCAGAGTCCATCAATGCATTGCCCATACGTATGGCCTCAGCCGGGCAGCTTACGAACCGCCGGTCGATTAATCGATCTACCAAGAGTGCCCCGGGACAGGTGTGATGAGCTCTTGCTGATCCAGTGCTGGATTCACTTACGACTGAAGAATACTCACACAGATCACTCGTTAGGTCGAGTACCAGTGGCGCGCATAACTCTTCCTGGACATTTTCCAGTGCCGCGACAATTTGTTTTGCCGACGGACGAAGGTTAGGATCACGGGCCCAGGAGCGCTCAATTATACCGCGTAATTTCGGAGGGGTCTTCTGATCCAGCCTAGGACGTGCACCATTGAGAACTTCTGTAAATAATTGTGCATGCTCTTGATTTGCTTGCGGAAAATTTATGGCTCCAGGGTGTAAAATATCCCACATCAAAACACCAAGTGCATAAACATCCGTCGCTTCAGCATAAGCATCGAGCTCACCACTCCTCTCAATTATCTCGGGCGCAGTGTATTCTGCAGAGTTCTTCTCGATGTACATGGTCCACGTCGTACCCATCGGAGAATCAGTTGCACTCGTAACCGCAACTTGTTTATCTTCCAGAATTGACACCTTTGCCTTTGATGCAGGCATTCTCTTTCTTAGTTTTGCCATGCATCTGGCTTCCCCGAAGTCCGACAATCTTACATTACGTTCTGCATCTACAAGAAAACTTGTTGGCTTGATGTCGCAGTGGACAAATGGGGGTGAGAAGCTATGAAGATAAGCCACGGCGCGAGCAGTATCTAAGGTATAGCCGACGTTAATTAGTAATTGCTGTCGGGCTGGATGAACATTTTTCATACAAACTTGATCCGCCAGCGTATCGGCCAAATTTTCCTGACAGAGCTGGAATACGAGGCAAATTGTAGGTGGTGCTACGCACATTCCATGGAACTGAACGATGTTAGGATGATTCAGGACACTGCACATGGCCGCTTCGTGCGAAAAGGCTGCTACGATATCATCGGAGCAATTTGTGGGTGTATATGCTTTAACAGCAACATGCGTTTTCAACTTTAGAGTTCCTTGAAACACAGTGGACTTGGAACCCACCCCAATTTGCCGAACGAGCTCCAGATAAGCGAAATCGATTATGCACTTTCGATTCATCTCGATGAGTACGTGCAAACCTTCTGAGGAGATATGCTTACAGAATCTATTCTCACGAGAAAAATACTCTTGCAAAGCATTTCCTCGCTGTCCGACTCCTCGCCAATACTCAGTGTCCGCTTTCAATACGCGCCAAACAACCAGTGGACAAAACGCAACCCACGACAGCAACACATAAACGACATAGCGGCTTGCATTGGCAGTCTTTGGATCCATGATAAGTATCATGAGCAGTACTGTGAGGAGGAAATGCACAATGGTAACAAAACACAATTCCCGAATAATGCGCTTGGTGGCTCGATTTGGGGGATGGATAAATGCGTACACAAATGGTAGCATTAGCAGGCTGCGGACACATTGGAGACCAGTTGTAAAAGCCTTTTGTTGGTTTGGACGACCGAATTTCGTCACCACCCAGACATACAGGATCGTGTAATACGATAGAACAAACGACAATACTACGGCTCGCTTGACGGCAGGGGATGACAGGCTTTTCTCGAACATGAGTACCAGAACGATCACGAACATGAACTGATTGCCGGAGTAAAACGATTCGAGTATGAGAGGGGAAACAAAGACGTCGTAATAGTCTATTGCGAGCGTCACCACCAGGAAGAAGATATAAACGCCATTTATACCGGCCAACACGAACAGTACAGGCTCATATGCTGGTAGAATCACCTTTCTCGCTGCTACTGCGTCCCCTTTGAAAGCCCCTGCTCGATTCACTCTCAAGTGCCAGATCAATCCCACACACAGCAGCCAAATGGTTACAAATCCTGACAGGATGAATACCAACGTCACCCGCATGCGTTGAGCCCCACTTTCCAAAGACTCCAGGTCACCAGACCCACTAGATATCACCGCCGAATCATTTCCGGCCGAGTCATCAAGAAACCGGACCGTATACCCCCTTGTTGCCGTAGCAGTCATCACTAGCAGAAATTCGTCACACAGTTGGGCCAGCGCTTGGACTTGAGTTGAAAAGTGACAAACGCGAAATAGATGAGCGTTTCGCCACCTCCACCGCCCAGTTCCTGCAAAGACACTTGTTAGCAGGAGACACGTCTTACCTGCTAGTCCCAGCCCCAACAGCACCGCGAATATACAAGTTTGGGTGGGACGCTCTCCAAGGGGAGAGTGCCCCACCCGCAATTCTTGTGGAGAACTGCTCGGCTTTCTTTTCTAACAAAATACGAATGAGGACAGGCGACAGAGTACATGGTTCAGACCTGGCTACTTCCAAATATCTGCACAAGGGAGCAGAAGAACCGGTGCCGCTAAACCATTAGTGCTCTGAGTAAAACAAGTTAAAAGTAATTTTGTGTCAGAATGACTCGCCGCTTAAACACTGGATTAAAAATCCAGAATATCGTTTTGAAGTTGCCTGGGCAAAAAGATACGATAGCCATGAAACTCGCGACCATAAAACATCGACACTGCCCTGATGTTGAGTTGACAGAGTTGTGACTTGAAACACCGAGGTGTATCATAGGATATCTTGGAGTAGGTAAGCTTGCAATGACTCATTCGTCATTATATTTTACAACATATTAACTTGTATTGTTTTCACTAGGTATTGTCGATTTCAGTTAAATTTGCCAATACTCGTCGATTGGCGCACCCAAAAATAAATCGACGCAGCGTTTTGATTGGTCAATAATACTTCGTTGAAGTTGATGCGAAAAAGGAGCGAATGCAGGAAGCAGCGCAACAAGCGGAATGGAGGAAGCCGTGACCCAGCAGCATGCACACCCGAACACAGTCTATCACTGTCTTCACGCGTACTACAAACTCGGTCACTCGAAGCAGCACCTAGCATATATATTCAACAAGTGCGAGCGAACAATTCGGAACTGGATTAAGCGCTACGAAGAAAATGGTGAATTTCAGCGGAACCAAGCTGCTCCCAGAAGGACGTTCAGCCAAGATAAGGTGCAATGGCTCTTTGATTTCTACCTCACAGATCCCCTCGCGTACCTGGACGAAGCCCAAGCAGCCTTCAAAAAGATTTACCACACTTCCATCCCGAAGTCGTCGGTTTGGCGAATCATTCACGAGCAAGGGCTGACGTGGAAGGTACTGGAAAGGCGAGCGATGAACATCAAGGCGCAGGACATCTGTCGTTTTATTGAAGAACTCCGCCAGGTGAAATGGAGCCACCGGAACCTCGTATTTCTCGATGAAGTCTCATTCGACAATCGAGGCATGGTCCGTAAGCGAGGATACGCTCTCCGTGGGAAGAAGATCGCGATTCGAGATGACTTTGAAAGAAAGCCTCGTATTTCAGTGCTGGCATTAATCAACGTGGATGGAGTCATCGATTACTTTAACACTGAAGGCACTTTTGACCGCGTGTTGTTCACAGAGAGCTGCCAGCGTTTTGTGTATTCTTCGCGATCGCGACTTCAGGTGCATCCTGGAAGAAACAGTGTCTGGAGCCTTGATGGTGCTTCAATTCACCGCCACTCCGAGATTGTGACCTTTTTGCAAAGTGTTGGCGTGCTCCCCATATTTCTCCCGGCATATTGCCCATTGTTCAACCCCATCGAGTTCATGTTCGGCTACATGAAACGTTCATTTCAGCGTCATTACGCTGAGTCAAGCAAGAGGGACTTACTTTCATTTGTTATTCAGACGTTTCGACGTTTTGAAAACTTCAACATGAGCAAGGTATACGAGCACTGTGGCTGGAGCGTCCAGGGAAACTTTAATCCAGTTCGCCCACTTTCACATGAACGTCGACCCGCTCCACAACTCGATACCGGTGAACGCAGTGAAGTGTACGCCTGAACAGATGGACCAGTTGTTGAGGAGGAGGCTGCTGAATCATCGCATCCCACGTGGAGCGGTCTAGGTTCGTCGTGACATGATTGCCCCATAGACGCCACACCACATCTTCCGCTTGGAATGTAGTACTCCAAGCTTCCTTCAGACTCTGCGCCACATCTCCGAGCGATCCCTCTGACGGTGCTCCCGCTCGATCCGTGTCTGGGACAACGTGAGCTGCCTTGAAGTCTTCCAGATCTTGGGCCCTCGCGATATCAGCACCGTACTCATAGATCAGCAGCTTCACGGTCTGTCCACGACGTGCTTCTTCACCTTAAACTGCATCACATTTCACCATTCCGAGATGTTTGGCTCCTCTCTGGTCCAAACGTCATCCGTATTCACCGCTCGGCCCTTCGTCCGAGGGGTGAATTCGTTCCAAAGGTGCTGGAGGATCTCTTCGAGCGCGTTTCCACTCTTGACAGTGTCGCGCAGCACATTGCCTGACGTATCACGCTATCCTACAGCAGTCTTCACGATAGGTTTCACCAGCAACTGGTAGAGGAACTCTTGGTTTTCTTCCGCAATGGATTGACTTTCTTCGGTCGCCGTGGGAAGTGTGCTGCGTCGAGAGAGCGAGTCGCACGCCACAGCGGGCGCGTCGTCGATGAGTACGGTGAGAAGCGAGGGTGTGATCTCGTGCGGAGCGGACGGCTGTGATCTGGCGATGACTCCACAGCCTGCTCAGGTGGACGTTGGTCTTGGCTCTCCATGGCGCGTTGATCTTGGTTCTCCATTCCGCACTCACAGCCAGCACTACTCGAGTGCGCACTCGTCAGAGAGAATAAATCATGCGTTTGGGTAGGTCTGGCGATTGGGCGGCGGTTTGGCCCCAGCGATTCCCCAATCGACAATACCACCATGATACATTCCGATGGTACAAGTGTAATAACAATTCTATTAAGGAAATCGAAGTCGAGCTCGGCTGGCGGAGGCTAATCCGCGATCGGTTTAACCAGTAGGGGAGCTGAACCGTTGGAAGGCACCATGCAAAGAACACAGACGTTCGTTGGAGACACATAACGGAGCTTGCAGGAAGGAGATGGCACTTGACTCCAAGAGAGCCAATTTGATATGCGTATCTCTCCTTCCTACTCAACACTTTAATCTATCGCATTAACCTACACCGGCACCTTGGTTGATTCCGACCCAATATTCAGCTTGGTTGACCTGCGATGAACGAGCTCTGCCTGCTGTAGGCAGCCCTATCCAATGTAACTCGCACTAATGCAGACATGCAACCTCTGGATCTCACAGATGCGACGGGAACGCAGCCTCAAGTTTGGGGTGAATTGTTGGGATGCTACACGAAACACTGGACTTGCACGCACGCCAGACAGTTCAAGGATCGGGGGCAAAGACTTCGCACCAACCATACTACTCGTCGAATCCAGTGTCCTGCCAATATAAACGCTTTGTTCTTCGTTAACGTGGATGTGGCTTTCTTTGTGCGAGTGAAATCTTTTGATTCCTCACACACAACCATCCCGATAACATGGACGTATAAAATAACTACGCAGAAACCTGAAAAACCACGTCGCCTGCGCCTCGTGGGGTCGTAAGAACGAAGTGGCAGGGTACGTAACGTTGAATAGCCTTCATGTTTTAGATTTTAACATACTTCACGTGACTTTTATTAAGGAAGAAAGAAAGAAGGTTCTTTGCTATCTGAAGGATGTCTTTGGTAGGCCGATTCTGTCGCAGGATGTCAACAATATATTCGCGAAGATGCGGCGTAAGTCGTTCATATCGTCCAATGACAACGTTCGCGCGATGGAGCTGCTGCAGGACTGTTCGGGTAGCGTCGTCATGGTTTTCCGCAACAAGGGCACGCAACTAACGAGCTATATTATCTTCCAGACCTGTTATATGCGACGAATGGTGCGTTTGTTTACTGAGGGCATGTGCATTGATGGATCTCATGCCACCAACATCGATCGGTGAGTCGTTGTGCTTTAGTTGGTACAAATAGGAATTGGCATGATATATAGCTGGTATCACCAACTATATTACGAGTGTGTGGCGATTACTTCTATGTCTCCAGATACCATCTTTTCAGCTTCACGATGACCGCTAAATTTGGATTGTTGGGCACGCGCAAAAATGATGGAAAGCCGCAGAACAAGGTAGAACATTTAAATTGTTTTTTTTGGAGTGGAGCATTCATTGAGCTGGGGCGTGTAAAAACTTATTAACCCTTTCGTAGTCAATTAAATCATTTTGCCCTCTTTGGAGGGCGTATCCTTGGGTATCACTCGTGTCACCCACGAATGGGATCAAAATGCCCATTGTATTATTTTGTGTGTGTGGACGAGGCGGATTCTCCCTTTCTACTTGAACTACCAGGATTTGCAGAAGATTTGCTGTAGTACCGTAGTTTATGAAAGGGGGCAAAATCCCCCCTTTGATGGCCTAATGACTTGACCTTCTATACTTTAATACAGCCAGGTCAAAAGTACCCGTTCACGAAAGGGTTAAATTCTTGGAAACTTCATTTTGGTAGAGAACGCAATTTCAGCATATTCACACGCAATAATGAGAGCTGGACAGTGGTCCCCGTCATCGTTATAGACAAAGTTTTACTTCGTAGGCGACACTAGAATCCTAGTTTCCAGAGGCGTCGGTCATTTTTCGTCATTTCCACGTTATTCATTCCCTTAACCGGGAGATCAGCAAGAATGATTATGGGTTCGACAACTTCGAAAAGATGAATCTCAAGAACTATTTTTGATGATGGTTCGTGCGTCCTGTGAAACTACTTTCCAGTTGCTACTCTTCCTGCAGCAAACAGCAGAAGATAGCTATATATATATATATATATATATATATAAGAAAACAAGAATCGAGAATCGTGCGAACAAGAATTACGTTTATGAATCTGTGGTTATCTCTCGCTTAAAAGACCTCGAGCGCAATGCGAGGAATAATGAAGGCTCACTGCGCTCGATCAAGAAGATTATCGCGACGAGTGAGCATCGACATGGGTGTGGTGAAGTGATAGTTGGCTTCTGGGAACAAGGGACTGATTGATGGGATGTGACCCGATCCAGTTCTGAGACTCATGGTCAACGACGGGGCATCAGTGATTACGTCATCATCCGTGAAGATTACGTAATCGTCGGAGTGGATCGACATGGTGCAAT